ATAAGTTCTAAGTAATTTTATTTTATAAGTATTTAAGAACATATATTTAAAATTTTATTTAATTTTATTTATTATTTATAAAGTTTTAAACAATTTTATATTTCAGTTTTCAACTTTCCATGCTGTATATCTTCCATTATTCAAAAGGTTGGATTTCTCAATAATCCTTTTGTCTTGTAAAGATGGGAGGGTCTTTAAAAGTAATAAGAATACTCATCAATTGTGATATTCTTCAATAACTTCTGGGAAAATACATTCTCAACTGTAATCAAAGAGTTGAAGCTTAGTATAAACTAAAGATTATTTGTTTTATTGCCTGACCAGAATAAAAAGAAGATCTCAGTCTTGAACTTTGCCTGATCAGGATGGTAGAAGAGAAAGATCTTAGCTTAAACTTATAGTAACTTTTTTAACATTTGAGAACTTGTTACTTATTAACCTTATAGAACTTGATCTATAGGTTAACCCAATTGGAGAAGTGGAATAGACATAAGGTACTAATCAACTCTTTTAATTATCAATGACATTATCAGAACATATGAAATGACCAGTAGGAACTTGTTTATATTTAACTATTGATATATTTTATGTTAACCAATTATATGTCGGGTGACATTGTATTATCAGAAATTCAGGATTAAACTGAGATAGGAAAAACCCCTCAAGAAAATTGTAAAAAACAGTAAATACTTTAAAAGGATATAAGATAGTATATGAGAAGATAAATAATATAGTAAAAAAAAAAAAAAAACCAACTATATAATATTTAACAACTTTTTTAATTTTTGAAGCAAGTTTATATAATGATTTCATATAATAAAAGAATCTATTTTCTTTTTTTTAAACTGTGATTTATTTTCTTAGAACATTTATTTTTATAGTTTTTTAAGAAATTTTATTTATTTCAATTTAATCTTAAATTTTTTAATAGAGTAATTCTTATCAAAAGTAATAATTGATATAAAATACATTTATTTTTAACTATAAATATAATCTTATAAGTATTTTTATATAATTTAATAATATTAATAATAATTAAAAAAAAATTATTAAAAAAGTTTTTCTTTAAAGCTATAAGTTTTTTTTTAAAAAGATATTTATAATATTAAAAAATAAAATATACAATATATATATATAAACTTTTATTTTGATAATTTCATTGAATAAAACTAAAATCTTTCAATTTTTTTAAGCTATTTAAATCTAATATTTTTGAACAATAAATCTATTTAATTGACTATTCAAATATTGTAGGTAATAAAAATAAAGATTTTTTTTTGAAATTCAATTTGAAATAAAAAAAATATTATAATTAAACAAATCTCTTTTAAGAAAAAATTATTATTTTTGAATAAATTTTTGAATTTTTAAATTATTTTTTATTTTTTATTTTTTTGATTTTCTCATTTTAACTTAACAATTCATGATTTTTGAATAATTAATTATTAATAATAAATCTAAAAAATAAAGTTAAATTAATTTTTTAGAAAAATAAAATATTGTTTTTTAAATTTAACTTAAAATATTTAGATATAACAATAAGTTAATAACTTTTATGAAAATCTATAGTATTGTATTTAGTTTTATAAACTTTTCAATAAAGATAAATCAGATGATATAGTTGCAAGTTAAAAAATAATCAATACTATATTATTAAATCTAGCTATTGAATTATTTAAATATTTTTTTTTGACAATTATTTTAAAAAATCTAAAAACTTGACTAATATTTTAAATAAAGTACTTAAACTTTTATACAAGATTTAATAATATCAGAATAAAGATTTGTAACTCCGACTAACATTAGATCGTAATTTCGGTAGAATTAAGACCTGTGATTTTGGCAGGCATTACAATTTCCAAGTAATCACGTAATGTGATATTATATTAAAAGTGACATCTGATTCTGTAATGTCACAGTGATCATTGTACCATTAAACAAAAGAATGTTAATGCGCAGTAACCAGCAGGTAATAATTAATCACCAAAATATTTGTTATATAAAATTTATGAGAATTGACTATATATAAAATTTATTAAAATCGAATATCAAATATTTCTGTTAGAAATAAATTTATATACTGTACATGATTTTTATTCTAAATTTCATTGCTAATACTATCGCCGAATAAACGCACGGAATAAAGGAATCCCATTTTATTAAAATTTATTGAATTAGATTAAAAGTTTTTTTTTACGTATGAATGTTAATGATTTGGTGAATGAAAAAAAATATACATTTGATAAAGTGAAGATTACAACAGGGGATAAATAATTATCGTTTATATATGTGCTTGAAATTTTGTTTTTGTTCAAGTTGCCTTTCCAATTGTTCGATTCTCAATTCATTCTTCGCCTCTAATCTTGAACTTATATCACGCTTTTTAATCTCTTCTCTCAATTCCTGAACCATCTCTAAAGTTTCGTAATGATAGCATTCTAATCTCGCGTACTCCCTACTTATTTCCTCCAACCCTTTTGACTTTTCCGTATATAGAAATTCCAGTTGATTCAGATCTCTTTGTAGCATTTGAATAATCGTAAAAAAATGTTTGCCGTGAGCTTCTGGATCCGAAGATCTTGAGTGTTCATGTGAAGGTTCTCTTACTGAAATCGCTTTCGGAAGAGGCACAAAAACTGATGAAATAAATCCCAATCCATTTTTGGTCTCGATACATTGATTAGGTAATTCTGGAGAACTCATAGACTTCCTATGGCGTGATGCACTAATATTAGTACTCACAGGGGCTTCTATATAATCTACATCAATTTTGTCCAAAGATTCGAAAACTTTTTGAATCGTTGGACGTCGATTCGCATCGTGCTGCCAACATTCTGTTATTGAGTTCAAATTTTAAGGTAATGTTAATATTTTTATAACTTAAATCTTTGAATAATAAAAAAATTATTTACCCTGATAAATTTTTGAAAACAAATAGGGCGTTCCTTGTACAATTCTCTCACGACGTCCTTTAACAATTGCCTTCAATAAATTGTATCCCGGTGGCATTTCATCTTCAAAAGGGATGATCCCGCTTGAAATTTCCCATAACAAAACACCGACGCCGTAAACATCTGAACTTTTGTTTTGGATGTTGCCGTGATTTTGCAGATATTGTGGGTCCACATACTGAATAGCTTTAAGCATGCTGAGAAAATTATCCGAAGAATATTGAGAAAATCCAAAAGTGCATAGTTTAATAGAACCATTGTGAATCAAAATATTTTCCGAATTCTATTATAGGTGAAAGAAAGATGATGGGTAAGAATTTTTACTATTATTAATGGCTATAATTGAATGCATTCTGCAATGGACATTTGGGTTCGAAGATGACGTAGATGTATGCTCTCGGCAGTCATAATATGACGTGATCAGTCCATGTGAAAATGAAATGGGACATTTACCAAACCAAGGTGGACTATGTCATTTATGTGTAAACACATTACTGCACTAACGAGTTGCTTCGCGAGCTGTAATTTATGATTCCAGTCTATTGCCTTGAAATTTTGTTTCAAGTATTGACGAAGTGATCCATTATTTGCGTATTCCAGAATCAACTTGAGAGAAACCTTGCTTGGATCTAATGAGATCATTGTGCAAGTGATTAAGGAGATGGATACGTATCTTGCTGTTAATACGATCATATGGGAATAAGAACAGATTAGCATGTACTTAAAGGAATGGCGTACCTTTTTGGGTGACTCCCAACACTTTTAAAATATTGTCGTGGAATTTAAGACTTTGATGTTTCTTCAACTACAATGTGAATAATTTTAGGACAATATAACCAAGTCATCACCAATAATAAACTTAGTGAGCTTACTTTGTCGATAAACCCTTCCAAAGTAAATCCCGGTGATTTGACGTCGATGTCTTTTAAAACTACAAGCGTTTTATATTTACTTATTGTCGCTTTGAAGATGCATCCATAAGTTCCGATGCGGAGAGTTTCAAAATTTCCAAAAGAATCATAAGGATAAAGCAAATCTTGATTTATGCGAAAAACGTTGGGTTGAATACATTTATTTGCCAATTCTTCGCTGCTCATATTCGACTTTCACATTAACTTGCATATTAAAAAAAAAAATAAAATAAAATGCAAAATTATCCCTTTTATCAAATAAACAGTTACACGACGCACCGTGGAATTATTATTCTCACAATTCAAAGTTATTTTTAGTGTATTTATTATTTTCATTATTGGAATAAGTAATACTTCGCGAGTGGAATTTGAATTTTGATACGTGCACAAAAATTTGTCTGGTGTGACCAAACCTCTTATTTCTATGCAGGCCTGGAAATGCCGCAATCCCCAGTGAACTGGTTTTTGCAAAGATTGTCGAAGAGTTATTGGCTACCGTTGGTCCGAATTACAATTCGGTAAGGCTTACATTGCACATTAGGACCATGCGATAATGTAACCTAAACAATTTTTGAACGAACTTTTATATGTAACACTTATACTACAGTATAAACTCGTGCATGACTATAAAAGGAAAATGTTTTAATTTTTTTTAATGTATCACAATTTGTTCTCTGGTCGCATGTCTTGCAAATCTCCACTACTGTGATATCATAATCTAACAAATAAAGGTGTGCTATTTCGATTACTTCTTAGGACCAGTTTATTCTTGCGATTTAACGATTTTCATTTTTAATGTGTCAACTATTCAATCAATCACGAAATTCATGTCGACACAGAAAAAGTTTTAACGAGTTCTAACTAAAGTAATATTATTGCAATGTTGTACGTAAAAATAATAACAATGTAATTTTTGGTTTTCGACTATTTCGCTTTTACATAATGTCCTATTATTTTATTTTATTTTTCTCTCATTGAATCCTCAAAGTTACAGTACGGTGTATTAAACATAATCATATAATTGTGCATTTGTTTTACCTTTTTGAAAATAAAAATAAGAGACATTCCATATACAGAAAACAAATGCGCATACAATATTCTGTATAGTGTGACTCGTCATATACCGAAAATTTTTATGTTCGAGCTTGCTGCCATTTACATTTTATTATTATCTAATATGAAGAAACCACGGAACTAAAATTAAATGAATCAAAGTCGACAATTTTTGCGGCTGAAAGTGCTACTAGTATTGTCGCAACATCACGACTTGTTTTTTTTCCTGGTACTTCATGGAAATGATTTTATTACATTTTATAATGCTAGATTTTTTAAAAAATGCTTTTTCTTTAGATTATTTATTTTTCAAACATTTTCTAGGATATGATATATTAATTTTATATATCTATTCTATACTATTCTTTTAAAATAAGATTTAATTATAAATTTTGATATCAATAATCCAATAATTTGAAAATATATAGTTTTATTGAATACACGGTATATCAATTTATTTATTATTAATAAAATATTTCGAATATTAATTTGTAGTGTGTATCCAAATAAAAAATTTTTTTAATTTAATTTTAATAACTAATTGTTTAATTAATTTGAAAATTTAAATACCAATGCTTAAATATCTAAGAATAAGTTTACTTATATTATTTTATATCTTTATTTTTACATAAAAATTAGGGTCTACGATTAATAATTTATATTTAAGTAAACAAAATTATTAAATACAGTATATAATTTATAAGCAATCATTATCAAATCAAAATTTTATTTTTATATATATTGTAACAATAGAATGCTTTATTTAAACTGAAGATTATTAAGAAATCATATTTCAAAATAATTTTTCGATATACCTATTGATTTTTTTTTTTTTTTTTTTTTTTTTTTTAACCTGCAGTCAGGTCAGCATGGCTTGTCTTTATTGTATATATATCAGATATTTACAAATTA